AAAAAAAAAAAAAAAAAAGAAAGAAAAGAAAAGAATAAAAAAGAAGGAAACACGAATTCAGCACTAACGCAACCAGCTGCGAGAGTAGTGAGTCTTTGTTCGTTTTTCCAATGCTTAAACTTGCAGAGAGAGCGAACGGATGCGCGTACTTCTCGTGGCTGCTTTCCAAGCTGCAATCCACGCACACGTGTGTATGAAAAAAACGCACGAGTTTTCCTCCCTCTTTCCTTTTTCCTTTTTTTTCTTCTCTCTCTCTCTCTCTCTTTTTTTTTTTTTTTTTTTTTTCAGGGAATATAAACGAGGAAGGGAGAGACACAATGGCGACCCTGTCCCAGTCGATTTCAGTATCCATGACCTGATTACACGACGTTGCCTCGTATTGACGTTACCAACAACAGTTTTCAGCAACGAGCCTGTTGATCGATATTAGTGGCATTTTGTCGTTTTAGATTCGCCAGCGTTCGAGGCAAGCTGCTGGTCTTGCCGGTTCGAAGCTGGCTTCGAACCCTTTGATCGCCGCTCGTTCAACAAAGAATTCGTCGCTGCCTCTAAATCCCTCTGCTGTATAATACAAAGGCGTCGTTCGTTCCAAGTGTTTGCTAATTCTCCAAACGTTCCGCCTGTTCGTTGATTGGAGGAAGCGCAACATTTTCAGATCTATCGAGATCGTTGAAAGTACATACAGAAGCGAGGGATATTTCTGTAAATAATTTACACTGCGTGCAATAGCAATTGGGTTTCATACGATGACAATACGAGTCATATGTGAAAATTCAAGAATCGTGTGTACTCGAGAAAATGGAATGTAAATAAAATACTTTTGCATAAATTTGGAGCAGATCTCGAGAGAAAGCCAAGGAACTTCTCTACGAATCGTGGAAGTTTTTCGAAAGGTGTCGCCGATGAGAACGGATGGACGAACGTTCGTGCGAATAAAAGTTTCAGACAGAATGGAACTTATAAAATATGAAGATGACAGTTTTTCTGTCGGAGGGGCAGATAATTTGTTCATCAATTCATCGTCAGTATCAAATAAGCACTAATCCAACGAATAGCATTCAAATATGTATTTAAAAATGGATTTTTAATTAAACGAAAATAACTTTCTACTTTCCATCCGAACTTCTAAACGAGATTCGATTCTCCACGAGGTCAAGAATGTATCATTTTATTTTCGTAAAGATGTCGCCAAAACACTTTCTTGGCCCACTGTTCCTCTGCGCCTGTTCCTTTAACTGGACTGTTATATTTACGATTATGGGATTTTAGTTTATGGGACGTGAAATTCGCTCTCGAGGAGAATATATTCATAGGTTTTTTTCGTGCAAAAGTAACTTCACTCTCGCGCAGCTGCATAGAGTTCATCTCCGGGGAAATATTTCCTCTTTTTCTTTCTTTCTCTTTTTTCTTCGTCTCTGTTCTTCTCCTTTCTTCGTCGTTGTTGCAGTTTGACATTCGCGTTATTACATATTCCATTACGCTCGTTCTTTGACGCCATAATATTTCATAAATGATTCCGCGAGATGGATTCCAAGTTTGAAACAGATCCCCGTGAATTCTCTCCGTTTAATTCGTCTAAAATTCCCCCTTTAACGAGAAGGTTGTCTCAAAGGCTCGTGCTCGTCAATGCGCGCGATATTTCACTTTATAACTTCGGCAAATAATAACTTGCAGACTCGTTCGCCGCGTGTCCCCCGTTTCAACTCTCGGGGAAGTTGTCTCTCAGTCCCGGCCGATTGTAAAATCCCTTGTTAAAAAGATGATAGATCCAAGTTATCGCTAGCTTTTCCCCCGTTCACTCCTCGAACTTTAAAATTCAATCTAATCTGTCGTGTCTTTCCGTATAATCTTCAATCGCCAACGAAGATTTCTCCGTCTTCGAATAAGTAACTTTAATTTTCCCGCCGAGGAAATTTTGCTTAATAATGTGATCCGATCTGAAAGGTACAGAAAGAAGGGCGAAGCAGGGGATAACGAAGAGGAAACAAAAAAAAAGATTAACGAGTAAAGCGTCGTTGGTGTGATAAATGCAGTATAGTGGTTAGAATAGCGATAAATTTGACGATACTTTTTCAATCAAAGTTCAATCAATTTGTCGCGTGTTTTCGTATATAATTTTCAATCGCGAACGAATCAGATTTTTTTTCGTCTTCAAGTGAATACAGGACAGCCGCTGAAAAGTTGAAAAAGGGTTTGAAAAAGTTATAACTCGTTCATTTTCAATCTTTCTTATTTTCTTTTTTCTTTTTTCTCTGGTCATTTGAGGAATGTTATTTTTCACACATAATACTGGGGAAAAAAATCCATCAATTATATATATTTCCAAATAAAATAATAAAAAATTTGGAAAACATGTGTTTGTAAAAGTTATTTTTGTTTTACATCAGTCGGTCTTTCAGTGCCGTCCTGTACTTTAATTTTCCCGCCAAGGAAATTCAGCTCGAGACATTCTTCGCGATGAAGGTTACGTGTGCTTAATGATTTGATCTACCGGAAGTAGACCCAAAAAAGGCGAAGCAGAAGATAACGAAGTACTCTTCGAAATCTAAAATTCAATCTACTTATTTATTGCGTCTTTTTGCTGGTCTTCGATTGTAAATGAACCGGATTATTTTGCCTCTGTTCCAAGTAACGATCTTCGAACGTGTTACATGAAATTTCTGATTTTTACATACGGAAAATTTACGTTGGATACTTTTTCGAAAATTATCTTCGTGTTTCGAGAAAGTATTGAAAGTCCACGAATTTCTTCCAATGCGATTCTAACGAGGGGATATCTTTAAGATAGACCAAAACCAAATATCTTAAAAAGACCGAACATTTTCCGACCTGACCAACTTCTGAAAAGGCGAAAATATCAGAAGAAAAAAAAAAAAAAAAAATTAGGAAGTGTGAGAGGCTAATTTAAATTCACATAATACAGAAAAATTGCAAAATTATGTATTTACAAAATTACAAATCTGCAAGATAGGCATATTAAAAAATTACGTATTTACAAAAATACGAATTTGCAGACGAACATATTAAAAAATTGAGTATTTACAAACATACGAATTTTCAGGATAGGCATATTAAAAAATTTACAAAAATACGAATTTGCAGACGAACATATTAAAAAATTGAGTATTTACAAAAATACGAATTTGCAGAGTAAGCGAACATATTAAAAAATTATGTATTTACAGAAATACGAATCTGCAGGATAGGCATGTTAAAAACTTATGTATTTACAAAAATACGAATTTGCAGACGAACATATTAAAAAATTGAGTATTTACAAACATACGAATTTTCAGGATAGGCATATTAAAAAATTTACAAAAATACGAATTTGCAGACGAACATATTAAAAAATTGAGTATTTACAAAAATACGAATTTGCAGAGTAAGCGAACATATTAAAAAATTATGTATTTACAGAAATACGAATCTGCAGGATAGGCATGTTAAAAACTTATGTATTTACAAAAATACGAATTTGCAGACGAACATATTAAAAAATTGAGTATTTACAAAAATACAAATTTTCAGGCGTACATATAAAGAAATTATGTATTGTCAAAAATATGAATTTGTAAAAACGTTTAAATTAGAAAAACTACGTATTTACAAAAATACGAATCTGCAGAGTGGGCAAACACATTAAAAGAAGAAGGAGAAGAAAAGAAAAACTCAAGGTCCACCGAAAACAAAAGAAAAAAAAAAAAAAAAAACACTCTTTTTCTTAAATACGAAATACAACGTTAAGCATTCCCAATGGATCCCGAACGATCCCGAACGAACCAACGTGTGCACGAGAGTCGGACATTTCGTGGCCGCTCTCGCGATTTTCCCGCCAAGGAAATTAGCGTGTGTGCGACACCCTTTCATGACACGAAAGTTACGGTGTGCGTGAATGATGAAAACGGCGCACCGCGTAGACCGGAAGTACGGGTGAGGAAAGGCGTTGAAGGGTGAAGGGAGAAGGGAGAAGGGAGAAAAAGGCGAAAACGAGGAGAAGGTGGTGGTGGTGGTGGTGGTGAGAAGGTTAGGAAGGAAGGTAACGAAGGAAGAAAACGGTAAGGTTGGCGAGTAGAGAGCGCCGTCGGCGGTGGATGCGGTAGAGGTTAGAATAGCGGCGGGTCGTGACGGTGGTGGAGGCCACGGTAATGCTCTGTGGGTGGGATGCGCGATGTCTGGATGGCCGAGGGGAGTTGGCGGGGAACGGGGACAGGGGGATAGGTGGGGGCCGGGTGGCAGCGGAGGCGGCTCGTTTAGCACGCAGGATCAGCTTCGGGGAGAGCCTCGCTTCGTCTCTTTTACCTCGCGCTAGCTAGTAGCTCCGCCGCATTCGTACGTGCTACTAAAAAGGCACACGCGTTCGATAGAGAGTTGCGTGCTCGCCCGTACAGAGAAAAATTCCCCTACTCGAAAATTCGTTTCTAACTGTGCGTCTACTTCTTCTTCTTTCCCCCTTTCCTATACTACCTCTCTTCTCTCGTCTCCTGGTTTCCTCTTTCTCCTGGTTTGTCTCTTTCTTCATCCCTGCCAAGTCTCTCGCTTCTCGTTCTTTCTGTATCATCAACCCCTTCTGTCTCTCTCTCTTTCTCTCTCTTTCTTTCTCTCTCTCTCTCGCTGCGACGACGTGTAACAAAATCTCAGCAGCTCGCTCGTTTCAATGAGGTGATCGATGCCCCAGCGCGTCGTTCGTACGCTGGACGAGGGGGTCACAGTGTCTGTGGGTCGCACCGGAGGATACGGAAAGGAAGCGAGAGAAACACTCTTCGGTTGTTGTGGGTCCTCGAGGAAGCGAGGATCGTCTCGTCCTCGGTGAAGCCGAGTACGCACGCTCGTAATTAACAAGAGGCGCGTCAGGACGAAAATGGTCGCGTTCGTCGGGACGAAAATCATCGATGTTGTTGTTGTTAACTTGTATCCTTTAGAGAGCAAGAGTCGCGGCAAAGGCAACGAAGAGTGAAGAACGGGGAGAAAAGGGGAGAGACAAGGAGCGAGGAAGGGCGGCTGGGACGGGAAGATTGAGGGGGGGGGAGGCGTCTAAGCCGCGGGAGCAGCAGCAGCTTTCGATTCACAGTTCACCGGGTTCACGAAATTTCGGATTCTCAGGGTTTGCACTCGAGGCGGTAGCTCTCCGCTCTTCTCTTCGGGTGCTCGAGGCTCGCGTAATTGTCCTCGAAATGGCGCGAGAGCGGACGAATCGCCGGGGCGGCCCTTCTCGCGGCAAGAACGGAAGAAAATGAGACGTGACGAGCGAGGAGAGACAGGAGGAGACCTCTTCTTCGAGTGCGCACTTGTTCGCGAGTATTCCGAGTTAAAGGTGTAATCCCAGCGTCTTGGGAGGCAGAGCGTCTGCCTCTCTCGAAGAGGAATTCTTTCTTTCTTCCTTTCTTTTTTCGCGCGGGACTTCCCGGTGATCCCGGTCGAACCCGAACGTTGTACCGGCGGAGTAGGGGGAGAACGAAAGTTCGCCCGCGGCTTATCGACAATGCATACCCTCCCCGATGCTCTGTTTCTCCTTGTCCCGTCGACCCTCGACGTTGTCGCGCATCGCCACCGAAACACCGGTGTAATATAGATCGCGCTACAATTCTTTTAATTTTTCTTTTTCTCGCTCTCTTCTTCTTTCGTCGGTCGTGCACAGGATGTTTCACGGGTGTTTCACGTCGGATCGTCGATAAATTATGCGTGTACACATAGGAGGATAGCCGATAGGATAGGGGACAGGCGAGAAGAGTGGAGGCCAAGTGTCGTAGAGAAAACTGGAACTTCGGTCGTGTGTTGTGAAAAGAAAAAGAGAAAAAAAAAAAAAAGAAAAAAGGAAAAGAAGAAGGAGAGAAGAGAAGCAAGGTGGGTGTCTTTTTATAAATAAAGCTGCAGAAAGAGGAAGGAAAGAGTTACGCCCGCCGCTGGTGTTCCGTCAGAATTCGTTGTCTCGCTCGGCCACAGTTTCGAGCAATTTCGTGCTCATCAAGTTCCAGCGTATTTGCCGCTGTTTCGACGTGCTGACTCCACCGAGAGCTGATACAAGAGCAAAGAGAGAGAGAGAGAGAGAGAGAGAGAGAGAGAGAGAGAGAGAGAGAGAGAGAGAAAGAAGCCTGGAATTGCTAAACGACAACAACCACAGCAACAGCCCAACATTGGTGTGTCTCCGTGCTTCGTAAAACTGCCTACGGTAGATCGTAGCCGGTAAGATGATTTAAAAATTGTTTGACAGAAACGCGAGAGTCCGCGCGAAACGCCCAGCGTTCCGGGGTGAAATACATTCGTCTCGCCTGCTGCATTTACTTCGGTCACTCGATTGACCACGAGTATTGATCTATATTTTCAACGGTATTATTTTTACAGAGACTGTCGTCTCAACGCGTGACACATCCTTTAAAAATGACGGACATTATCGATGGAACGCGTGTTAGTTCCTTCGTGTATGTTTAGGATTATTCGTTGGCATGGCTGTGTAAAAGTTTGAAACGCTCTCGATCTTAATAACAACGATCAAAGAATCGCCGCGAGAACAGTTAGCTGCTGCATTATATTGTAACGTTTCATTTGATCAATGAAATATTATATATTTTCTCTACTTGAAAATAACAGACGTGCCATGCCTGTGCGTCATACTTTTTTTTTTTTTTTTTTTTGCTTCTTTTTACATCTGCAACATTTCGGTTAAACGTCGTCTAATCGTGTCTAACGAGAGTGTCGATTTTATCGCGATTTTATCGCGCATCGCCGCACACGACAGACGAATACGAATTCGTGTTGCGTGAGTTTCTTTTTTTTATCGCTGCGCGCGTGTTTCATCATCGCTCCTCCGCGAAACACAGCCTTCACGAACGATCTCTTTTTTACTATGCAAATTGTCCCGTGATTATGCATAATAATACCTTTTCACCTGCGACGGGGGAGGGAAGGCAACGATCCGGCAAAGTGTACATTTGCTCGAAAAAGAAGAAGAAGAAAAGGAGAAAAAAAAAAAAAAAGAAAACAGCTGGCGCGGTTCTAGGCTAGATCGATACCGCGGCTACCTCGCAAAGCGAAATCGCGCCGTTTCGTTTGGTAACTCTGCTCGATTTTTCTTGCCCGAAACCGCGGCCCAGTTCTTCGTGTTCTCCGTTGGCTAGCCTTTTATCCTGGGTTTACGATGCTTTCATTTAACATATTTCACTCGACTGTTTCTTCCAAGAAGGAACTTCGTATTCAGGGGTACCCTTGAATAATGTCTTCTTCTTTTTTTTCAAATTTAACAAACATTGCCATCTGGCGACGGTAATTTAATAATAACTTGTAATTGAAGTTCAATATATTGATGATTTGGTACGCTTGTTGTTCAATTTTGAAAAGAAATTTGAGTTAACACCATGAGAATGGAAGAGCAAAGTACGGATAAACTCCGTGTTAAACGTTTGATGATCTATGAGTTTATTCTGGTGCCTTGGTTTAAAAAGAACGGTGATTTCAATCTGAAAGGCCTGTTTATTTTCATTTGTCGTCATTTTACAAACAAAGAATAGAAAGTTTGTGAGATGGTCGAAGATCGTCAGTAACGATGGAAATGATATAGATTAAAACTCTATCAACTCTTGAATGAAGTAAAATTTCGTACGTTATCAAAAAAAAAAAAAAAAAAAAAAAACGACACTAATATTTTACCAATAACAACGTGAAAAATTGTAAAAACAAAATCGTCAATAGCGAGCCTAAGACTATTTCGGTGCATGACTATTAAGACACATGGGCTATGAGTCTTGAGCAGTCTATTTTTTTTTTCGAAGATTCGGGAATTACTGGAAAATTTGGATGCAGAAGTTGGAAATATCTATATCGTCGCAAAAAGACGTATATTTGTAGATTGGCGCGCTTTGTTTTCTAAGCGTTCCCCGAAATGTCAAACGTCAAAAGGCATCTAGAGACATCGCGAAACGAAAGGTAGCGCCAACTTTGAACAAACAAATAGCGAGCGAGCAAACAAAATTATGCTCGAGCGCGGCTTCAACGCAGGAATGATGGGGGCGATTTAAAAATATTCTTTTCTATTCGGTTCAATCGCCCAGCGGAACGTTACTGGTGCTTATCCTTGACATTCCAAACCAGTTACTCCTTTCAGGCTATGAACCTTCGATACGGATCGCTATCTGTCGCAAATCGATCTTGAATAATTCATCGCGGCTATGGAGCCAGATACTGAATACCTCCGGAATTACTGCTGTTCAGGGATCGTTGTAAAAACAGGCCGTAGCGGGTACAGTCTGTCTCGCAATAGGCGATATCTCTGGAAAAATTGTTGATGTACTTGTAAGAAATTTAATTTCTCAGTTGAGAGTGTTTGGTTCAAAAAGTAGTTGCGTTTTTTTTTTTTTTTCTAACAGGCGAACACGCTAATCTTTCTAATTTTGTTTTATATCGCAAGTTCATTGTGTGATCTTGATACTTAATTGTTCGGGCTTGTTTTACAGAGAGAAAAAATGCACGATTTCGTTTGAAATTGTTTGTTTGGTACCGATTTCAAAATGGAAAATTAAAAAGGAAAAGATTCAGTCTGAAAGAAAAGATAATTTTAGCAAGTTTTATTTATTAATATAAGTATTAATTTGGTAAGGTTGTAGGTTATGTTTGGATGAAATCTGAAAAAGATATTTTTAAGAAGTAATGGTTTAAGTTAAGGTTTTAGGTTATGTTCGGATGAAATCTGAAAAAGGTATTATTAGCAAGTTATGTTTTAACTTAAGGTTCTAGATTATGTTTAGATGATATCTGAAAAAGGTATTTTTAGCAAGTTATGTTTTAAGTTGAGGTTTTGTTTTGATGATATCTAAAAAAGGAATTTTTAGCAACTTACATTTCAAGTTAAGGTTTTAGGTTATGTTCGGACGAAATCTGAAAAAGATATTTTTAAGAAGTAATGTTTCAAGTTAAAGTTTTAGGTTATGTCCGAACGAAATCTGAAAAAGATATTTTTAGCAAGTTATGTGTACGTTAAGTTAAGTTAACTTAAGGTTCTATGTTATGTTTAGATGAAATCTGAAAAAGGTATTTTTAGCAAGTTATGTTTTAAGTTGAGATTTTAGGTTATGTTTTGATGATATCTAAAAAAGGAATTTTTAGCAACTTACATTTCAAGTTAAGGTTTTAGGTTATATTCGGACGAAATCTGAAAAAAAGATATTTTTAAGAAGTAATGTTTCAAGTTAAGGTTTTAGGTTATGTCCGAACGAAATCTGAAAAAGATATTTTTAGCAAGTTATGTGTACGTTAAGTTAAGTTAACTTAAGGTTCTATGTTATGTTTAGATGAAATCTGAAAAAGGTATTTTCAGCAAGTTATGTTTTAAGTTGAGGTTTTAGGTTATGCTTAAATGATATCTAAAAAAGGAATTTTTAACAAGTTACGTTTCAAGTTAAAGTTTCAGGTTATGTTTGGATGAAATCTGAAAAAGGTATTTTTAAGAAATTACGTTTCAAGTTAAGGTTTTAGGTTATGTCCGAACGAAATCTGAAAAAGATATTTTCAGCAAGTTATGTTTCAAGTTAAGGTTCTAGGTTATGTTTATATGATATCTGAAAAAGGTATTTTTAGCAAGTTAAGGTTATGTCCGAACGAAATCTGAAAAAGATATTTTCAGCAAGTTATGTTTCAAATTAAGGTTCTAGGTTATATTTAAATGATATCTGAAAAAGGTATTTTTAAGAAGTTACGTTTCAAGTTAAGGTTATGTTCGAACGGAATCTGAAAAAGATATTTTCAGCAAGTTATGTTTCAAGTTAAGGTTCTAGATTATGTTTAGATGATATCTGAAAAAGGTATTTTTAGCAAGTTACGTTTCAAGTTAAGGTTTTGTTCGAACGAAATCTGAAAAAGATATTCTCAGCGACAACGGGCTTCTCAATTATCTCACGAGAGGAACACCTTTTCGTTTGTCTGTACTCTCCGCGCGATCATGCACTTCGGCGGAGTGGCAGAAGCAATAATAAGACGATAATAATATCATCGTCCGCGGCATTATATCGGACGTCAGTTCGATGGCAAAGTAATTCTGACTCGCGAGCACCGTTTAATGTGGTTTAGTATCTGATCGAAGTCGAATTGCTCGCGGAGCAAGAACTCTCTCTCTCTCTCTCTCTTTCCCCTTTCCCCATGTCGGAGCAAATCTCCTCTGATTTCCTCTGTCTGGAAAGAGAGCCGATCGAACGTCTACGATATCGGACCAATCTGGATCACCACAGCTCACAGTACATCGATGTATTTACGATTGCTCTGTGAGTAATTGTGTCAAGAACGTTTGCTTGGTACCAACAGCCTCAACTAACATCTCGTGACGTTTCTAATACCACGTAGACAGAGATATATAGAAATCTCTATCCGATTTTTTTTTTTTGTCTTTGCTTGTTCGTCAGAGAACCGAGCTCGTTCTAAATCTCGTGAAATTGAAAAGTCCAAGAATTACGATGAGAAGTAGTCTGAATGAAATGAAATGTCGAGTTGAGCCTTCTGCGATGTTCGACTTTAGTCCACGTGGAAAAGGAAGTTCGGAAATCGTATTTCTCTTGCACTGACTCAGTTTACAGAGAATCACCCGGATATTTAAATATTCGACACTCCGAAAGAATTGAACAACGTCAGTAACATTAGCCAGCTTGAAAATCATAGTGGTTCGAGTCGAGGTTTCAGCCGAATTTTAATTTAGTCAGAACGTATTATTCTGTTTTTCGTAATTTGAACCAGGTATCCTCGTTTTTAGCAATAAACGCAGAACGCAACAATCGAGAAATGCTCTACAAACAAGAACACATTCCGTGACAAATGGCATAACGTTGACGCTGACACCAGAAGGATTAATCTTGGCCCTCGGTAGATTAACTAGCTTCAAGATCAAGATTTTAAAAAGTTTAATCAGATATTTCAACTCTCGAACGTCAACAAATCCTATCTTTCGTGACTTGGAAAAATAATATCGCAGCGTGCATCAGAACACGTTGGCAATCAATCGAAAAACAAGACTATTACGGCAAAATGTATGCTCGTATGATGACATACGATGTGTAATGTGTGTTCTGTTACGTGCAATACAACCGTTGTGGCTGGCATCGAAAGAAAATGTACAAATAATGTAA